GGGGAAGCTAGAAACAGATATTTGTAAAGAGACTTTCCCCACAGAAGAAGTCCAACGCTCATCCTAGCTTGGGGGATCACTCGGATCACGGCCTCCTATTTTATAGATGAAGCAATTGCCTTGGAAAAGTTAATTCACATAGGTCTCAAATCAGCCCAGGAAGCTGGACCAGAACTTGGGACTCAAACGCCAGGCACGGGCTTTTAACCAGGCTGTGGGCTACAGTCTGAAAAGGGACAGGTCAAGAGGAAACTTTACTTTGGATTAAATGCAGAACAATTTTCAGCCCAATAATTCAGAATTTCAAAATTAGGATTTAAAAAAATATAATTGAGAAATGGACTGATGGCTATAAAAAGTTACAATAATAATTTCACCATGACTATTGCATCTGAATCTTAGGATTTGTCTCTGAGTATTACCTTGTTGGTTAATTATATAAAATTAAGTTTACCTTTTTTAGAGTTTACATCTGTCTGGCCTAGAAACCTGAAATGTTGAAAAACAAAGCAAATTCACCTCCTCTGAACTGCAGTTTTTAACAAAGCCACAGAACTGGACCACACAGCAGTCAGCACCACACTAAAAGGAATGGGGCTGCCCGACTAGGATCGATCCATAAAGTAGCTGACCCTTGTTGGTGACTCTCCTTGCACAGGAATCAAAGTCATCTTAAGTTCAATTATGTGTAGCATTCAACACAACACAACGATGAAACCACATTTCCCCACTCACACTTCACATACTTGCCTTCTCTCTGACTGATCATTGTAACCAAGCTGGTTTGGGCAATTAAGATTTAACCTTGCCAGGTGATAGAAGCCTAGAGAACAGGGGTTGGTAAACGTTTCTGCCTGAAAGTTCAGATTGCAAATAATTTTTTAGACTCTGCAGATCCTATGGAGTCTGTCACAACTGCCCAGCTCTGACCCTGTAGCCAAACACAGCCCATCAGCAGCCATCTGGAAACAAACGGGGTGGCTGTGTCCCAATAAAACTTTATTTACAGAGACAGGTATTGGGTCTCATTTGGGACACGGGGCAGAGTTTGCCTCGCTCGGCTGTAAGGGAGACTATTTCAAACACACACACCCATATGAGCTTCTTCTTGCAAATCAGCTTTATCTTTCCGAGCAGTTATGCTATTTCCTCCTAATGTTTTCACTGCTCAAAAAGTTTCAAGACCTAGGGGTGCCTGGGTGGCTCAGTAGGTCGAGCGTCCGACTTCGGCTCAGGTCATGATCTCACAGTTCGTGGGTTCGAGCCCCGCATCATGCTCTGTGCTGACCGCTTGCCGAGAGAGCCTGGAGCCTGCCTCAGATTCTGTGTCTCCTTCTCTCTCTGCCCCTCCCCCGCTCACGCTTTGTCTCACTCTGTTTCTCAAAAAATAATAATAATAATAAATGTAAAAAAGTTTCAAGACCTAGAGCCACTTTCCAGTTGCCTTCAAGCCCCTTAAAATCAGTCCTATTATTTAGCAGAGGACATCACGGGTAAAGTTCCCCAACTAAATTACTTTTTTGACTAAGACTGATAAAATAATAGGAAGATTTTTTAAAAGACTTTAAGGATACATCAGAAAAAGAGTATGTCAAGACAGTACAACTCCAGACAAGAGGCGTATATCCCAGGCCTGAAGAGCAGAACCCAGCGCTTCTCCGTTAGGGGAGCCCCCACTTACTTGCAGATAGTACACGCAAAGCAGTTGGGATGATAGGTCTTGCCCAGGGCAGTGACCACCTCTCCTTCCACGAACTCCCCACAGCCATGGCAGCGTGTCCCATACATCCTCTGGTAGTCCAGGGTGCAGAGATACTCGCCGTTCTTTATGAAGAAGCCCCCTTGTGCCAGGTCACAGCCGCACACTGTGGAAAGACAAGTTCACATTTGGTCATCGTCTGCCACGCTGCCGGGCAGCAAATGCCTTCCACTGCGTGCTGCGAACTTACTCCATGATCTCAGTGGGCTGGGGTGAGGGGAGGGGACTGGCACAAAGAGCTATTTATTGTGGGGCTCTGAGTTCTCTCTTGCCTCCTTCCCATTTCGTATCCCTCCTTTCGGGAGGGATGGAATGTCTCATACGAGTAAAATTCATTGGCTGGGTCTCAGCGACTTGTGCAGTATGTCTAAGATTCAGAGATAATCCGTCTCTGATGGAAAGATGCCGTTGGTTCAGGCCGTCTCGAATAGGAACAAAGGTATCTCTGGCAGAGCGATTTAGGAAAGGGACCCACTGCTGGCCCACACAACTGTTTGCTTTGGGCCAAGACGATTACTGGGCTGAGTAATAAATTCCCACCATACCAAAAGCAGCAGCAGAAATGTCTGAGTCCATTTTTTCACACTCTGGAAATACTTTTGCCACAGCTATGAATAATTTGGACGTTTAATTTTCTCTTTGTGCGGTAAATAGGATAAGTCGATTGTTTATATATTATAGGGAGAGATAAAAATGAACAGGCAAAAGGGGGAAGAAAAGGGAACATGTCCAAGATAAAACCGTCGTTCAGGACCTCAGTACACGCAAAAGGGAATGCTTTACTGCGTCCGGATTTTGGTGTCTCTTGCGCAGCTGTGGACCATGGACACGGTGCAGAGAAGCAGGTCCCCGGGTGCCAGGGGCTTGGGCGTGGCCTACGTGTTGAGACAAGACCAGAAGAGGGCACGGCCACTTGTCCAAAAATAAAGCCCAAGGCTGACCCGCAGAGTAAAGAGTTTGCACTGTCAAAGGCCTGGGAAGCAGCAGCCATGGCCGGGAACCTCCAGTCTCAACCTCTCGATGCCCAGGGTTGGGTGACTCCATACAGTTAAGGGCCTTAGGCAAAGAATCCCGGATTCTTCCTGATTCTTCCTGCAAGCAGCTGGAATAGGCACCCAGTGGGCAGGGAGAAGGGGAGCTCCACCACTAAACTTGCTTTCCTAAGAATCCTGCTGGAACACCTGCAGTGTTCCTCTAATTAGTTCCCGTGACTCATCAATGCCTCCAGACGACCTAGTGCTGAGCACAGTGAGGTTCTGCCAGAATATGGTGCCTACTCTCCCACCCCTCCGGTAGCAATCTTTCCTACTCCGAGCCATTAGAGATTTTCAAGGTGACACAGAAGCCACAAAGAAGCTTTCCGCTGTGGAATCATCAGCCTTTGTTTACATCAACACTCCACAGCTCCGACCTCTTTCTTTGCAATTTATAATCAAGTAACCCAAGATGATGGCCTGAGTCCATCATGCCTGAAAATGACCACCCCTATAAATATGACTCTGATCACATTACCTGGAAAACAGCTCGTTCACCACCTGCTGCCTCCTCTAACCTGCCAGTGCCCCCACTGTTCACACACCTGCTTCTTCCTTAACAAACGGGTCCTCCGGGTGGGAGGAGCTCAGGGATGGACTGACTGCACTCTGACCGCCAATTCCTTCAACGGCAACAAACACAATCCTGGGGTTCACAGAACGCCCCAGAGAGGTTTCTTCAATATTGCTCTACGTACATATCTTTTTTTCCCCCAAGATGACAGAGCATTTTACGGTAAGAGTCCTCATCTTCACTCCTTTTGATTCTTCTTCAGGAATCTTCAACCGTGGTATCTAAGGTATTACTAGGAACATAGTGAATTAACTTGAATCCGGCATCAAACTTGGCAAGCTCCCCGTGATGTCACTCCTCAGCGGCATCAGCAGTTTTGATGACTCTCTTGCTCTTGCAAACGTGGGTATTTCTTAAAGCCATGAGAAGTGACAAAATAATGATTTTGACTACTGGTAACTCTCTTTATTTTCCCCTCCAGTCACCTTGGGTAAGTTTAAAAATTCACAGGGGCACCTGGGTAGCTCAGTCGGTTAAGCGTCTGACTTCGGCTCAGGTCATGATCTCGCGGTCTGTGAGTTCAAGCCCTGCGTGGGGCTCTGTGCTGACAGCTCAGAGCCTGGAGCCTGCTTCTGATTCTGTGTCTTCTTCTCTCTCTGCCCCTCCCCAATTTGTGCTCTGTCTCTGTGTCTCTCAAAAAATAAATAAATGTAAAAAAAATTTTTTTAAATACATTAAAATAAAAGTTCACAGACCCTTTATAAAAAGAAAGATCTGGTGGCAACAGGGTGATCTTTATGCCAATCCAGATTGTCGAGATAGCTTCAGAGCTGCTTGTAAATGTTGTAGAAATTCACTGTATTTGGTGCAGCCTTTCTACGTCACATGGGCTTGTGAAACTGACACGGACCCTCCTTTAAAGGTCCTAGTCCATATAATCCTAATGTAGTCTTAAAAAATGACTTTGTAACTTCTGTTGAGAGTTGCCAAATTACAATTGAACTCTGAACCCCTTTGAGATTTGATATGGCCTAGTTCTTAAATTCAAAGCAGTGGCCCAAACTGGCTTATCAAATCGTGTCATTGGTTTTGGTGGTTTATACACAAGGAAACCAGCATTTGAAGAAAGGCTCGCAGGCAGGGGTCATCAAAGGTCTTTACTCGCTATTCCTCCTCTGACACAGCTTCTCAGTCCCCTTAGCCAGGCCCTTAGACGCAGGTAACTGCCATGAATGCTACTTCCTTCCTCTAGAAGAAGGCCACCCTGGGAACAGATCTCATCTACTCTCATAGGCTTCAACAACAACTTTGTGCAAAGGACCAATGTCTCTATCTCTGATGTCTTCCCCAAGCCTGTAGACCCTTATTTTTCGCTGCCCAGTGGGCATGGACAGCATGCCTATCTCAAGCCTGGCATTTTAAAAACATACTCTATGGGGCGCCTGGGTGGCTCAGTCAGCTAAGCATCCAACTTTGGCTCAGGTTATGATACCACGGTTCGTGAGTTCAAGCCCTGTGTCGGGCTCTGTGCTGACAGCCCAGAGCCTGGAGCCTGTTTCAGATTCTGTGTCTCCCTCTCTCTCTGCCCCTCGCCTGTTCATTATCTACCTCAAAAATAAATAAACATTAAAAAAAAAAAAAAGTCCATCCTCTTGCTTCTACGTCATCTCTCTATAACCTTCTGTTCTTCTAGTCCTTCTTTCAGTAACATGCCAGCACTGTTCATTCTCCACTCTTAATACCATAATGTTCAACTACCCCCCGAAATCTTATTTGTTTTCCCAACAAAATGTTCCTTTGAACCATTCCCTCCTCTGCCTTCTTGCTGTCACTACTGAGATTCTGGCCTTCACCAATTACAAATAATTTTATAATACAGTGTACTAGCAAACAAAACACAACACAACAGGAAACAACCAGTAGGGCAATAGTTGGTTCCACGTTAGGCAGGTTCCGCTACGCGTGGAGCCTGCTTCTCTTTCTCTTTCTCTCTGCTCCTCTCCCCTGCTCACACTCTCTCTAAAATAACAATTAAAAAATTAAGTTAAAAAAGGAAAGAAAATAACACTTTGACAAAGGGATTCCTCTCTTTAGCCAAAAATATCCAGTGCTCGCTTCCACAGCATATGTACTAACCAAAAATATTCAAAGCTTTAAGAACCCTTCGGTGTGTTTCATACTAACAGCTTAGCAAATACTTCTAACTGATGGCACAAAGCAAAACTTTCCCATCGACATGATCACAAAGTCTCCATTAGGAAGGTCAAACTTCAGTAGGATATATTTAGATCTTTAGCGTTGGGTGCTCGATTTGTCTTTGTTCTAGTTGATAGTTAACATCGGCCCAGGGAAATGTACAGATTCGTTTCATTAAAAAGGAGCCGCCAATGAAAGAGATTAACTGCTTTTTTCTCAATGATCAATTATTTAAAACACGCCCCAGTCGAGGCCCCACTGAACCCTGCCTGCTTTGCCATCGCATGGCATGGCCACCATCAGCCATGCGCCTTGTCGATCGTCCGCTCTTGAATTCACTGTCTGCAAACTACTGAACCCCATGAACTGGGTAAGAATATGTATGTCCAAGCAATTTCATATAAAAGCCGTGAAATTAGTAACAGGCATGTTTTAAGCTCTTAAATCTTAAAAAAAAAAAAAAAAATTAACGAGAGCTGCCCGGTTTGTAAACATCCCATGGAATAGGAGGGGAACAAAGTACGGAGGTGCCAGATAAGGGGGAAAACAGAACAGTAGTTTAGAGGCATGAATGGGGCTGTGGTACCAACGACTACTTCAACTTTCTAAAAACAGCAGTTAACATTTTATGTTACAACAGACTCATCGCAGTCACATTCCAACTGCCTGTCAAGCAGCTCACATTGCCAAAAACTTAGAATAGGTAATACTTAAAACTCTACCCAAAGGTGGGCTTGGGGGTAAAATGCAAATGTTTTCTTCTTTTATATCAGCAGACGGAGCATCTCTGCTGGGCTACTGCTCACATGGGGGCTTTAATCAAGTCATACCAGCAAGAGAGGGAGGGTTGTTAAGCAAACGGGACCAGTGTCTTCAATGTGGTGACACAAGAATTTTACTTGGGGGCCAGGAGCCGCGGGGGTGGGGTCCTTTCTTCTCTTTTTTTTAGGGCAGGCATGGGGTTTTGGTCTGGCACTCTGCCAGCGGTCAGCCCATCACAGGCTGTGAGGGGCCCCTCTGAACTTGCCAGCATGGCTGCTGGGCCGTGGCCGTGGCCGTTCATTTCTGGTGATCAAGACCATGTGCTCCAGAAGTGCTGCTTTACCAGTAGCACTCAAAACCCTGTCCTCAAAACCCCTCAAAACCCTGTCCTATCCTGTGTGGGCCAGCACCACTCCTGACTCCTCCTAGGGCGCCATGCACTAGAGCTGGGGGTGGGATGGATGCGGGGTGTAGACCTCCCAGGCTCTTCATGGCGGATTAGTGGTGTGAATACCAAATACTTCCCAGTCTCTGCCTCTATCCTCTACTCCAACTACATGTTAAAAGAATCTTTTTCATCCAAGATGTTATTCTATTCAT